CTGTCTGTCTGTCTGGCTGGCTAGTGCGCACGATATCTCTCACATGGAGTATCCGATTTGGTCCAAACTTGGTACATCGTAATATTATTATCAAACTTAGGTTGAGTTCGCAGATGGACAATATCGGTGCTCACAAAGAACCCCTTGTGTAGAATTTCAGACAAATCCCTTGAAAAATGTGGCTAAGATCATCAAAATACCGAATATCGCGGGTACCGTTATATGGGGGCTACACGATATCGTGGACCTATATAGATAATTCTCTGCCGAGGTATAAAGTACCCACAAGGAACTCCTTGTGTTGATTTTCAGACTATTATATTAGAAAATGTGGCTAAAATCATCAAAATACAGAATATCGGGAGGTTCCGTTATATGGGGGATATTCGATATAGTGGACCTATATAGACAATTCTCTTTCAGGGGTAAAGTACTCACAAGGAACTACTTGTGTGGATTTTAAGACAATTCCATACCGAATACCGAGGGGTACCGTTATATGGGGGCTATACCATATCGTGGACCTATATAGATAATTCTCTGTCGAGGTATAAAGTACCCACAAGGAACTCCTTGTGTGGATTTTCAAACAATTCCGTTGAAAAATGTGGGTAAAGTTATCAAAATACCGAATATCGGGGGTACCGTTATATGGGGGATATACGATATCGTGGACCGATATAGCCATCCTCGAACTTGACCTGCCTGCAGACAAAAGAGAGATCTGTGCAAAAATTTAGCTTCCTATCTTAATTCGTTTAGACTGTAGCGTGATTACAACAGACGGACGGACGGACGGACAGACGGACGCACAGGGCTAAATCGTCGTAGAATTTTACGCTGATCAAGAATATATATACTTTGTTGGGTCTAAAATGATTATTTCGATGAGTTACAAACGGAATGACGAACTTAATATACCCTCCATACTATGTATGGTGGAGGGTATAACAAATGTAACAAGGGTATAAAAACCTCCACCATACTATGGAGGGTATATTAACTTTGTCATTCCGTTTGGAACTCCGCGAAATACTCATGTCAGACCCAACAAAGTATATATATTCTTGATCAGCGTAAAATTCTAAGTCGATATAGTCCGTCTTTCTGTCCGTCTGTCTGTCTGTTGTAATCACGCTATCTTTCGAACGAATTGAGATAGAAGGCTAAAATTTTGCACACGTGTTTATTTTTCCAGTAGCCAGGTTAAGTTCGTAAATGGACCATGTAGGTCCACATTTTCATATAGCCCCCATATAACGGTACCTCCCGATATTCGGTATTTTGATGATTTTAGCGACATTATTCACCAGAATTGTTTCAACTTTGGTATTTGAAGTTCGAAATGGATACTACAGCCTAAGACAGAAAATTGTCTATGCTGGTCCACGTTTTCGTATATCAGTACCTCCCATATTTTGACGAGTTAAGGTACAATACCCACCTAAATTATTTGAGATGTCGTATTTGACGTTCGTAATGGATGCTGCATCCTGTAACAGAAAATTGTCTGTGCTGTTCCAGGTCTTCGCAAAGCTCCAATTTAACGGTAACTCCCTATATACGATATTTTGATGATTTTACCTACATTATTCACCGTTTATTTTAAGTTTCGAATTTGAATATGGTAATGGCTTATGACAAACAATGCCTATGTAGGCCACGTCGTATAGACCCCAATATAACGGCTATATTCGGTATTTTCAAAATTTTAACATAATTTTTTAAGGATTTATTTTTTTATTTTTTTTTTATTTAAATTTCCAAATAAGTTCCAAGTGGTGGAGGGAATTCAAAGTTCGGCCCGGCCGAACTTACTGCTTTTTAACTTGTTTTTATTTGACACTTTTCTCACAATATGTTAAATTAAGAGAAAATCGGAAAAAACGCAACTGATACGGTTTCAATTCTTTTTCATCCCAAAAGGCAAAAATGTTGTCTTCCCAAAACTGTAAATATTAATTTAAATTTCCACACAGTTTCAATATTATTTTGTTTATTATTCAAAACAATACATACAAATACAAAAACTATTATTCAGAACAAAACTACCAAAATAAAAAAATTGTATTCAGGTGATTACTCTGCTCTAACTGGGAGATTATTGTACCATGGAGTTAGACCTGGCACGTCGCAGTATATATTTCATATTTATTTAGGTCCGATACGAAATAGAAAATATTGGCCCATTAAAAATTTAAATAATCATAACAGAAGTCAAAATATTTTTTAAAAATCGTACATTGGTTGAGGGTATACGTCTGTCGGCAAAATCGACAGATACTTTTTAACTTGTCCTTTATAGTATTGAGAAAAATGTGCATAATGAGTAGACTCTTGCAGTTCTGGAGCAGAGCTTGACAACTGCTCCGCTATATATTTATTTTTAATGGTAAACATATCGTTTCACGAGTTTATCTCTTAATTTTACCATGGTCATATTTTTTTTGCTTGTTGCGCCACGCAAATATATATTTGTTATAAGAATGTTATGCTAAATAGTAACTTTTTTATGATTTCGCATGAAATGTTTAAGGATTTGAGGGATATAAATGAGTTGAAGATTACGAATCAATGATAATATGCAAATACGTATAAACATTGAACTCCCATCATAAAGGATAAATCGTTTATCGTGGTAACCACTTTTACATTCTTGCAATTATGTCTGTCCGTCTGTCTGTTGAAATTACGATACAGTCCACATTTTTTGCCGTAGAGCGTCAAAATTTAGCAAAACAATTAGTATTGTGCACAGAATGTTTGGTATTGAAAATGAGATGTCCAAATGATGTCGGTCCAGGTTCTGGTATAGCTCCAACGGTACGTTTGGATATTCGGCATTTTGTTAATTTTTTTCACATTTGGTCACGGATTTGTATAAAAATTGGTATTTGTAGGTCATAATGGGTTCCTTCTCATGTGGCGAAACATTGTATTTATAGGTCCAGGTTTTGGTATAGCCCCTATATAACGGTACCTCCCGATATTCGGTATTTTGATGATTTTTGCCACATTTTCTCACAGATTCATCTAAAAATCGGTATTTGTAAGTTAAGACGGGTTCTAGCTTATGTGGCGAAACATTGTATGTATAGGTCCACGTTTTGGTATAGCCTCCATACAAGGGTAACTGCCGATATTCGGTATTTTGATGATTTTTGTCACATTTTTTTTTTTACGGATTTTTCTAAAAATCGGTATTTGTGGGTCAAAATGGGTTCAAGCTCCGCGAAACATTGTATGTATAGGTCCACGTTGTTGTATTGTCCCATGTAATTGTACCTCCCGATATTCGGTATTTTGATGATTTTTGCCACACTTCCCACTAATTTGTCTAAAAATTGGAATTTGTTGACCATGATGGGTTCTAGCTCCGGTGGGGAAACATTGTATGTATAGGTCCACGTTTGGCATTTGTGGGTCATAACGGGTTCTAGCTCCGGTGGCAAAACATTGAATATTTAGGTTCATGTTTTTCTATAGCGAACATAAACCGATTCCCACCGATATTTAGAATTTTGATAATTCTAGTCATTTACCCATAAAATTGTTTCAAATTTGGTATTCTAGAAAATTTGATAGATGACAATCCCTGAAGTATAAAATTGTCTGCAGAGGTTCACGATTTAGTATGGCCCCATATAACGGCTTCACTCACTTTATGGTTTTTGATAAGTTTAAATGCATTATGCAAAAGATCTTACTGGTATTTGTAGTTTAAAAATAAAAATGTTTCCTTTAACTTAAGGTGGAGGATATTAAAAATTCGGCACGGCCGAACTTAATGTTTATACCCTACACCACAAGGTGGTCAGGGTATTATGTCTTTGTTCATTTGTTTGTAACAGGCAAAAGGAAACGAAAAGAGACCCATAATTCCTTTTGATGATCTGCATAGAATCACATTCTGAGTCGATTTATGCATGTCCGTCCGTCCGTCTGTCCATGTATTTTTGTAAACAAAGTACAGTTCGCATTTATTTCCCTATCCAGATGAAATTTTGCACAAATCATTTGTTTGGCCCAAGGATGAGCCCTATTGAAATTGGAGATAATCGGTAAAAATTTAGATATAGCTCCCATATATATCTTCGTCCGATTTTCCTTTTATTGTGCGCCAAACGTGTAATATCAGTCCGAATAGTATGAAATTTTGCACGTACGATCAGATTGGACCTGAAAATAAGTATGCCAAATTTGATCGAAATCAGTTCAGATATAGCTATAGCTCCCATATATACTGTTCATCCGATTTGTTAGATTTGTTATCCACAGCTGTAATATGCACTTCGTAACAACGATATTCAGGGAAATATGTCAAATACAGCTCAGAAATATCTTTGCCAAATTTTATCGAGATCGGTTCCGATTTGGATATAGCTCCCATACATATTTTTTATCCGATTTCAAATTAATTGTGCACCAAATGGGCAATACAAGTCCGAATTTAAAAGATACAAATGCTTCGGCATATTTTGTCCTTTGAACTTTAAATTATAAGTATAATCATGGCGTGTATGATTGAATTCTCCCATTAAAACGTTTAATTGTTATGCGAAGCTCTACTAAATTAGCAAAGTAGTGTAGGGTATCATAAAGTCGCCTCCGCCCGACTTTAAGACTTTCTTCTTGTTTTTACTTGTTTTTATATAGAGTGGATTGCCCGATGATGACCGTCGAAAAGGTTTGAAATATGTGAACAACTAAATACGATACAAAACAACTAACAGAATAATCTTAAAGTTTTGTCCTGTTTTCACAACCAAAGCCTATGTTTTATTATTTACTTTAAACATTTAATTTTTATTTCATCAAGTTGGCTTTGATCTCATCAAGTTAGCCCTGATTTACCATTTGTCCATTTACTTACAATCATGGTAGAAATACCAGGTAGCAACATTGGCGAAAATCACAACAAAGTATTTATTTGAAGTATAGAATTTGGGGCAAATTGGTCTGCATCAATCAGAACATTGGATTTTTGAAACATGGTAAATTGTGTTTTTTATTAAAATTTTAAACATTTTAAATTTGCATAGAACGTGTGCGTTGTTGTGAATTTTAATTTTTCCCTGGCTCCCTAATTGCTACAGAAGATTTCGTGAACTCGATGGACTCGCAGTGCGCATAATGTTTATCCAAAATCAATCTCTAAATCGGATATAAATGAGGGATTTAAATTGGATTTAAACTTCCCCAGGTATTAACGTTTTTGATATTTTGAGATCATTGCAAAATAATTGTCTATGCCTCTGTTGTTGACTAGTTATCAATCGTATTAATGTTGTGAACTTTGATTTAGACTGTGACAAAAATCTGGTCTCCTGTGCAAATTCAGATCCAATTTGGGCTAGCTACTTTCCGAATAAGGTATTTTTGGTGCAGTCACAATTTCGGCGAGCTCCCCAAAGCGAAAGTATATCACTGACGGTTCTGAGTCTATTACCTAAACATTAAAGTAAATTCTTTTGAGGATTCGAGGATGTTTGTATCTCTAGAAACAGGATATTTCTTAAAATGTGATGTTAACATAGAAGCTTGTTAGATTTAACAAATATTGAAACGGTTAACAATTCCATTAGGGCATCTATATTGAGCAAATATTCGGTTTAAAAATTTCCAATTGTGATTGTTTCTAACTGTATTGGCATTTACACACAACTAGAGCCCAAATAAAATTGTATTCCCATTGCATTTCAGTTTATTATATAAGTGATTCAAGAAGCATAATGTTAAGGGTTTTAAGTACATCTGAGAGTTCGTTTCTTGCGCCTTAGAATAATGTCAATCATGTTCACATTGGTGTAACTACTTAAAGAATATTTCTAATGTTTCACAGTCGCATTTTCAGCAGAATCAGTGGTCTCATAGTGCAAATCGTTCAAACATTTTTTTATGGGCATAGGTGTGGTGAATTCAAATTACAACAATTTTTTTGACATATCAAATTGATACCAGCTCGCGTGAAAGGGTTACCTACAATAAAAATAATTCATTCATTTCTAAATTTTCTTCCGAAAAATAAACCACAAACTTTTTTAAAAACTTAATTGTTGGGATTTTATTTAACCCATGAACTCAAACAACTGCTGACTCCAGACAAAGAATACCGATAGCTGTTCAAATTGGTTACATTCGACACAAGAACTATTCATGGCAACGGGCGCTACGAATGCAACAGCACCAATTGAAGTTCTGCGCTGTGAAAGCAAATCGAATTCATTATGGCTGGCGTTACACAGGATTCAACAAAATGCCGCACAATTGTCGCGTCAATTGAAAGCAATATTTTGAAGGAGGCATCAGACATAAGCGTCTGAAAAAAATATTGACGAACAAGGACGAGATCGGGGACAAAAGGCCTTCAAAATTGGTAAGGTTTATAACGACATTTTGAAGCAGCTGTGGACGCAAAGACGCCCTAGGCAAATGAAACCAATATTGTCCGTAAGTGAAGACAGCCTTGAAAAATTATTGGTATCATTTCAAATTTGGCGAAAAGCCAGAAAATATGTTGCCCCATGCAATTTTATGTCTCCAACTTCAGAAAGCTAAATGGTGCGCAGTCTTTGGTGACGGAGAGTGTACCCAAGAAGTATGTCGACTGTTTGTTCGAAACATTAAATCGAAAACCAGATATTTAGTGGATACCGAAGTAACACATAAGCCCAACCCCTAGGAATTCCGCAGACTATTGACACATTGAATTGGAATGACAATACAAAACTTACTGCCATCAATACCGCACCCCGACAGCAAACCTAAAGCTGTATTGTCGGGGTATTGATCTCCATTTGTTTTTTTTATTGTTTACAATTTTACTACTTGACACGGGAAATTATTTATTAATATTTTGCATATTCACCACAACATCAACGACGACTTGAATTTCGACCTATTCCAAAAATAAGTTTAGTCTGATAGGCAGATTTGACTGGATTGCAGCACACACCACCTAATTGAATATGTGGGCCTGTGTGTTGCTATTCAGTATTTTATTTTTTTTTTTTACTTTTGACGGGTAGGTCTAAATGTTTGGCCTCGTTTCAGCTACTGAACAAACAGGCTTCATTTAACATAAATTAGGCCACTCTGTACGAAGTAGTGCTGATTTAAGCTTCGCTTAATGTGGAGCATTTTAATGCTGACACACCGCAATAGATATGAAATAATACAACCACCACTAATACAAACATCAAAACAGAGCTCCAATTCCACTTTTTTATTAAAATGAGCGATTGCGGTTTCTTTGGCTTAATTGCAACATTATAAACGACTTACTATCGATTGGCACTGCGGCTATAAATATGTAAAGCAATAATGGTGCGATACTATCGAACTTGATTGAGTTCAAGTTGGAGATGATGACGGTGATGGTCCGCAATGGTGTTGGTATGACATCTTGAAAGTGAAAACACCAACCAGATTTGTCCAGTGTCGACTAGGCATCGCTGCTGGTGGGTCTGGGTGCCTGAACCGTCCTCCGTAAACGTGATCGCAACAGCTCGCGACGTAGACAATTGCTTTCGGCTTGGGCCATTTGTATCAGCTGAAAGGAAAAATGTTGATTAAATTATTGAAAGATTCTGGATTAAAAGTGGCGTACACTATCCGTAAGGGCCGCTCTCTCCATTGTTTCGGGATCCATGTCGCCCGCAATAGATTCGGCCGGCGATGAAGCTATTGACGATCTGGCTGGACATCGTTCGGTATCGTCTAATTCACTGTAGCTTGGCGGAGCATCAAATTCCTCCGAATTGTCTCGTTCGTCGGGATAAAGGTTTGCTGTCGTCCTTAGTTTAAGCTTGGCTTTCTTGTAGGCAGCCAATTCGTCCTTTAGACGTTGATTTTCCATTTCGAGTATATCAATCTGAAAGAATGAAGGTGCAGATTATGAGGAGGCTTGAAATAAATATATATCTGTAAAATCGACGAGAAAATTTGAACATTAAAATATGTTGTTAGGAACCTTCTTTTTAACCTGAAAGTTAGCCATTTTTTTGCCAACCAATAAATTCGTTCTACCGAAATAAAATTAGAATTGTATCATTTCAATTATGACTGATGAACGCCCAGACGCAATGGCTGGGGCAAGAATCTTGAAATTGTGGTTGAGGGTCACTCTTGGTCCGAAGAGTTCACATAAGGCTGGGGCCGAAATTCTTACTAGAACGGTACGAAAAGTATTAAAAGGTACTAAATATAGTAGACTTTGTATTTGAGAAAACAGAAGAGCTAGAATTCTTAAATTTGGAATGAGGTTCACCGATGGAGTGTATGTTAATGTACCAAAGGGATTTTGGAAATTCGCACTATAAGTTTACGAAAAGGTAAAAAAAGATGTTAATAGGTTTGGAAATTTGTACGTATGTGTACTAAATGTGGTACAATTGAAATTTTTGACAGAACCAATAGAATTGGAATCCTGAAACTTGGAAATAAGATTACCATTGCATTGTAGGACTCAGGTATGTAGATAGTTTGGGAAATTCATACTTATGTGTACGAAGTAATACGAAATTTGGTACAACTTAAATTTTGTGAGTTGGAATCCTGAAATTTATTTGGTCTGTATGGCATGGGCAGTTATGAAAATTTTTACTTATATGTAGTAAATTTGGATTTGGGCGAACCAATGGAGCTGATATCCTGAACATTGGAAATAAGATTAGTATAGAATTGGGACAAGTAAGTAGTTTTGAAATTTGTACTTATATGAACTACAATGTACTAAATTTGGAACAATTTGTATTTACAGGGTGAGATAAAGATACAAAAAAAAACTGCAACAAAGTCAAACGCCATAATTTTTTATGTATTGGCCATCTTTGGCACGAATTATGACCTTCAAACAGCCAATGAAACCGCCACACGCTGCCCGAATGTTGTTCTGAGGGATTTTGGCCCATTTCCGGCGAGGCGCTTGCCTGAGGTGATGTACACTTTGGTATTTTTTAGTGCCAACCTTGCTTTCCAAAATACTCCAGACACAATAGTCCAACGGATTGGTATCCGGAGATTTTAGTGGGCAATGTGCGCTGGAAATGAAGCGAGGAACCTCATTTTGTAACCATTCTTGGAAGCTGCAATTCTAAAATTTGGGATGTGAGTCACTGATGGAGTGCAGAGTAGATGCTCCAAAGTGTTATTGAAAGTTCGAACTTTAGAAATTTAGAAAATGCTCTAAAACCTTTTGGTATTGTTTGAACGAATAACGATAAAACCTTGAAGCTTTGTGTGATAATTAATGTTGGGAAATAAGGGGTTGTGGAAATTTCTACTAAGTGAGGGAACTCTACTAAATGGTACTAAATTTAGAACAGTTTGGTTTAGTGTGCACGCATGAAAATTAAATTTTGTATTGGGGCACCTGTTGGGGTAGTAGGTTCGTAATAAAGAGGTGGATTTAGATATGTGTACTATAATTTTACGAAAAGTACTAAATAGTACTATATTTGGGATTGGGTAACGTTAAAGAGCTGAAAACCTGAAATTTGAAATGGATGTTACTGTTGTAAGATCCACCTACAAATATAGAGGTAGATTTGAAAATGCGTAGTATAGTTTTTTGAACTTCTAAATTTGGCAATGGGGGAACTTAAAAAGCTGAAATCCTGAAGTTTGAAATAATTGCCGCTGTTGGTGTCTATGGTTGAGAGGGATTGAGATATACAGGGCTGTCATAGAAACCAATTTTGTCACTATTGGTTTTAAAAACGACAAGAAAAAATGATTTGGTGTCATGAAAATCAATGTTGCCGGTTTTATTTTCGAATTAGAATTTTATCGGTTTTGGTTGTAATAGAAGCCAATGTTATTGGTTTTGTTAGAGCTGTCACTTTTCATTTGCTTTGGATTTTTTAAATAATTTTTAAAGGATATTCAAAGGACTATAAACGTGGATTTTTTAAAGGACTATAAATGTGGATTTTTTAAAGATTTCTTAAAGGACTATAAACGTGGATTTTTTAAAGATTTTTTTAAAGACTATAAACGTGGATTTTTTAAAGATTTTTTAAAGGACTATAAACGTGGATTTTTTAAAGATTTTTTAAAGGACTGTAAACGTGGATTTTTTAAAGGACTATAAGCGTGGATTTTTTAAAGGATATTTAAAGGGCCATAAGCGTGGATTTCTTAAAGGATATTTAAAGGGCCATAAGCGTGGATTTCTTAAAGATTTTTTAAAGGACCATAAACGTGGATTTTTTAAGGATGTTTCGAACATTGGATTAATTTACATTCGAAATTGACAAAACCAACTTGGTTTCATGACACCAAATGAAACCAACATTGGTTTACAAAAACGACAATAAGCAAAACCGACATGGTTTCTGTGACAGCCCTGATAGAGGTGATTTTGAGAATGTATATTAAATGTTATTAAATTTGGTATTGAGTGAATGAATAGAGATGGAATCTCGAATTTCGATATTGAGGTCTCTTTTGGTATCTGGTGTTGAGATACGGGGGTACTTTTGGAATTGCTCACTTTTTTTCGAAAAGTACTAAATGTTTCTAATTTTGGAGAGTACAAAATGCCGGGTGTGGGAATAGAGATGGAATTTAGTACGATGTATGAAGCTACGATTAGAAAATTTTGTTAAAAAAATATGTATTTGGAGTATTAAAAAGGCCTAACACAAACTCTTGGAACGAATCTAAAATTTGAAGGTGGACTTTTCGCTGATGAAGTAGCGGGCGCTTGCTAGTTTATATATACAAATTGAAATAGATCCAGTCTCCATATGTCGGCACCGCCACTACCATTTTTAGCTACACACATACCACTTCAATGGAGTTGCTGTTATACACAATGCTTTCGGTTTTGTAATCACGCAATCTTTCGAAATTTCTACACATGTATGTATCCTTCGTCTAAATGCAAGTCAAATTTAAGTGATGTATTATTGGGCTTTTTTAGTCATATTTTCTTCGCGAATCGCCTGTCATTTGACAGAAGGATACCTATTGCATAGATCCCATAATGAAGAAGCTTCAACTCGGAAAGATCGAAGGTTTTTGTTCCTCATTACAGAGGGTATTAAAAGTTCGGACCCGTCGGTAATTGAAATATGTAGTGGGAATTTAAAAAAAAAGAACAATTAAAATTTTATGTAGTTTTTTAGTTGATCAAACCAAAAACTTATTCTTATGCAAGCCACACACGACGCGACCATAGAAAGACAAGGTTCTAACTAGCATTTTTCAAAATTGAGTGTTTCATTCAATATCGTCTAGAGTATCGAATAAAATTCAATCTGAACTAGTTAAGTGTATTTGAAGCATTTTTTTTTTTAAATAACAAAGTTCTATCGTACCCAATTTCTGTTATCATAGACTGAACAAGGTTCTATGTTTTATATTTAGAGCCTTGTCTCATTAAAATAAGACAAATTTGTTTTATAGAACCTTGTCATTACAAATAATGGATTTGTTCGGTTCTCTTCTTGTCCGACTGCATGTTTTTATAACAACAGTTAGAACCACTTGTTTTAAATTTTAGTTTAATCGTGATTGTCGATTGAATAGAACCGTAAATTGTGCATATAGTTCGTTATAAAAAATTATGAGCAAATCATGAGTACTGGTGCCAACATCTACAAATAAGATGTGGAAAGAATGGTAAGTAACAGTTATAATGAAAGATTGTCCTGACATTAGGATATGAAATTAAATCAGGCTCAACAGATAAAGATTCTGATAATCCCGATGCAATTTTTAATTCACTGCTGGCTTCCGTGGAAAATGAATCGATTGAAAACGGGGCAGAAAATGGAAATATTACGGCGAAAAAAAAAAATCAAAATGAAAACCTAAGAAAAGCGTTTCCTGGCTGCTCAAAATGTCCTCATAAATGTAACACAACGATTACAAGAAACGAAAGATGTGTTATATACTTAAATATAAATATATATACTTAAACATAACACATCTTTCGTTTCTTGTAATCGTTGTGTTACATTTATGAGGACATCGATTCATTTTCCACGGAAGCCAGCAGTGAATTAAAAATTGCACCGGGATTATCAGAATCTTTATCTGTTGAGCCTGATTTAATTTCATGCCCTAATGTCAGGACAATCTTTAATTATAACTGTTACTTACCATTGTTTCCACATGATCATGATTTGCTTATAATTTTTTATAACGAACTATATGCACAATTTACGGTTCTATTCAATCAACAATCACGATTAAACTAAAATTTAAAACAAGACTTAATTTTTATAGTCTTGCACAAAACGAAAAGAAACAATTTATTCCTCAGCAAACAGAGAGAGTTATTTGTGCCAGAAAAATAAATAAAGATAATGCAGGGCCATCAAGAAGAAACTTTACAATAAAATATTTTCTAACAATCAAAAATTAGAAAACTAGAGTTTGTAAACTGTTTTTTTTTTTTTTTTTTTTTTTTTTTTTTTTTTGAAAACATTACACATTTCATGTCAAAAAATGATATACAATGCTCATAATCAGAAGACGGACGCTAATTCAGCTAAGCCAGAGGGCAGAGGAAAGTCAAGCAGGAGCAGCCGTTTGCTAAGTGTTTCTAAAATTTATAGTTTGTATACAGATTGGTGTAAAGAGAATGACATACAATCCGCAAAAATCAACATACCGTTGGGTTTTTAACACAGAATTTAATATTGGCTTTCACGTTCCAAAAAGTGACCGGTGTGACTTGTGTGAGGCGATTGCAAACTGCAAAAACACAATTTAGCTATAAATGAAAGTCAAATGAGTGAATACGATATACATATTGCCAATAAATGGTCTGTTCCAGTACCTGCAAGTTTTGCCATTTTCTTCGATATCATAAAGGGAAAATCGGTTATCGTAGTAAAAACTTTTACAATCTTGCAGTTC